TTGTAAAACCTAGATACTGGACTGCTAATTCAAACTGTAGCACTATATAGCCAGACTGCCAGCTGCCTCAAATAACTTAGTGCTACACTTAGATGTTTTTTTTTTTAATTAATTTACTTATTTTTAGTTTTCAACATTCACTTCCACAAGATCTTGAGTTCCAAATTTTCTCCCCAAGTCTATCCTCCCTCCACCCCAGGCCAGCATGCATTCTGAATACCCTTCCCCTGATCTGCTCTCCCTTCTATCACCGCCCCCTTTATCTCCTCCCTTATCTATTTTCCAGTAGGGCTGGATAGATTTCTATACCCCACTGCCTGTGTATCTTATTTTCCAGTTGCATGTAAAAACAATTTTTAACATTTGTTTTGAAAACTTTGGATTCCAAATTCTCTCCCTCCCACACTTAGATGTTTTTGAGTGACAATTACTTGGCACCACCTAGTGGGAAAACTACACATTTCCATTTTCCCATCAGGTTTTTATGTATTTGAACCTTCAAACAAAAAAACAAGGGACCAAATCAGGGGGGAAAACTGTAATAATTCTTTATTTTTAAGAACTTTTCTATGCATATAGGGCAGAATAAACTTATTTCCTGTCAGCAATGAAGTGATCTTATTTCAAAACAAATAAGAGCAAATTAGCATCACACAACTAAACACAGTGTAGGCAGGTAAGGCTGCTAGGTTGTAAGTTTCTGTTTGTACCAATAAACACCATTAATCTAGTTTGGAACTCTTCTATGAATTCTTTAAGTAATATAGGATGAATTATTTTGATCTTCCAAGAATCTATTATTCCATCAGCATCGGTACTCCTTTTATCAAACACTGACTACAGTTATCCCTTCCACGTTGTGAGGGTTAGGGGCATAGCACCCCTGTGATCTGGATAATCTGTGTAAAATTTTTTGGCTTTCCCTTCATACCAGACTACCAGGCTGACTTTTTTCTTTTATGGGGTTTTTACATCACCTTATTATAAAATTTGGGTTATTTGGTTGGTCATAGGCTCTGGGTCATCTGCTGGCCTTTGAGTTTAATCTGTGGCTTCCACAAAACTTCCCCAAAATTCCTACTTACACTAATCTTATGCTAATATGCAATATATTGAAACTTACACAGCTCTAAGCAAGGTAAGAAATGGTCTGCAATCCTTACATTACACTATCCTGGAACAATCTGCAACTATACATAAAATGCCACGTTGTCTTAAAACACAGAATTAAAAACTGCTTTGAATAACTTTAAGTCAGTTAAACCTGGGCCAATAAAAATTTTTCCTTTTAATCTAAACAAAAAAAAATCTGAAACATATTATTTCTAAAAGTTCACTGGATTTGAGGGAGTGCTATTGCTGCAGAGAAAATAATAATAATTTGAGTAAATTTAAATCATTAGCCAATTTCCTTTACTCCCACTTTCTATAGCCGTAATTTTGCTATGTCTATATATCAATACAACTAAAAAAAGACTGCTTAGTTATGGATGCTTACTGTTTGTTCAACAGATCTCCATAAAAAACTTCCATTAAAAGGTTGTCATTTGCACATATCATTTGTTCTAGTAGATGTTGCATATGGATGTTAATAGACAATAGCTCCTTTCAAGAACCTATTTTCTTAGGATTATTTTCTGAAAAGTGTAAACAGATGAATAAGTAATGAGTAAAAGCAATTATTCAAAGGTGAATGCTTTTTTAAAAAGGGACATTTCCTTCACTGTCTTTATTTCTCTTTTAAAGAACCTTATTCCACAACACTAACCCATAGTACCTAATATCAATCAGCAGTTTAATTTTCTCAGTATACTCTGCCCATGAAGAATGAAAAGAAGTTACCCAGTGGATAGAGTCTGGAGTCAGGAATACCTGAGTTCAAATCTGGCCTCAGACACTTGCTAACTGTGTGACCCTGGGCAAGTCACTTAACCCCGTTTCCTCAGTTCCTCATCTGTAAAATGAGCTGGAGAAGGAAATGGCAAAGCACTCCAGTATCTTTGCCAAGAAAACTCCAAATGGGATCATGAAGAGTTGGACATGACTGAATAACAACAAACACATATCTTGAGGTGAGACAGAAGTCAGGTGATATAATAGGAAGATAAAAAAATGATATAAGAGAATATTCTAAAACTTTTTAGAAACAGCATTAAATTATATAATGTTTTATAAATATATTTAGAAGTGACGAAAGAATTTTTTTTTAAAACCACATCAAGATTTTTAGAAATGTGAATTTTTATGTATTAATATGGCTCAGTATACTCAAGGGATATCATAGTCTTTTAGAATGCTTCTTTTTTTAAATTTTGGATTTCTTATTCATGAAGAAACATGTTACAGTGAATAAAACAAAATTCAAGTCATTCTTCTGAACAAACACCTTCCATGGAAACTTTTTACCTTTCAAGGTACAGCTTTCCAATCAACACAATTATATATTAATCCAATTTTTAAATATATAAAACATCACATATGTGCTTCAATAAAAGCCAAAAGTAGGTAGACAGTCCTAAAATATTTGAGTATCTGTCAGTTTGTTAGGAGAAATGCCTTAACTGGAGGTAGCATAGCATAATAAAGAGCACTTGACTTATTGTCAGAAGACCACAGTTGTACAGTGTTCCTTCCTCTGACACCTACTGTGTGAGCACAGGTAAGTCACCTGACTTCCCTGAGCCTTAGTTTCCTCTTCCATGAAAAGAGGATATTACAACATCTATAACTCAGGAGAGAAGCAGAGCTGCATAACAGATCGATAGCTAGTCTTGGAATCAAAACCACCCAGGTTCAAAGTCATTCTGACACATCCTGACTGCCTGACCCCAAACACCTTAACTTCTCAGCACCCTAGGCAATTCTAATATTATCTATTATTATAATAATAATATCCAATATTATCAATTACTAAACAGCAGCCAATCAGCATTAGTGATGGGAATTTCTCACAGGGGAGTTGCCTACATCAATGGAATCATAGAACTAAAACCAAAACCTATCTCACAGAGTTAAGAACAAAGTACCTTGCCAACCTGAAAGCACTACATTCATGCAAATGATTATCATTATGCACACTTTCTTTTCTTCTGTAATATGGAGTTTTCTTAAAAAGATGTTATTTTAACTAAATATGCCCTTTAATAAAGGAGAAACAGATACTGAGAAGCGTACATTGTGGGTGTTAACAGAAAATATTAAGTAATCCTTTTCTGTCCTTGTATTATCTAGTCTTTTTATTTGACTCATTCACATGGACAACTTACTGGTGGGTGATAACCTCTCTACTCTTAGACAGGTGGTTTTTGGACAGCAAACTCAGTTTGTCACTGGGACCACACTCAGAACCTCTCCAGGATGGTAGAACCTGCCATGGCAAAGCTTGTACTCCTCTGACAAAGCCAAGGAAAACAGTTATTTTCTTATGTAATACACTGAGACACAATAAAATAAGACAAGACTAGGCATGTGTGAAAAATATATACAAGTGGTCTTCCATCACCTTTGGCTATGGGTTCTTGTAACCATTTTGGTCCACAATAAAGCACATCTATATCAGACCTGACACTGGTTTAGGGAGTATGAAGCAGACAAGTTTCAAAAGATAGTATCTTTTTTTCTTTAAATATTCCTAGCTAAAACTATGATATTACAAAGATTTTTTTATTCTTCAAATATGAAGTATTTTTATTAGGTTCAAAGATTGAATATTTCACTAATCATAGTTTAATTCAGGACCTAGAAAATGTAATGAAATGATTAAGTGGCATCTATGCCCCTTAATGTATTAGGTTCATAAAAAAAATTAAAGTTTAATTCTGAAAAGCAGCCCAGTCCTTAACAGGGGTATATCTAAGGAAAAAAAAAAGTCTTATTGACATTTTTACCCCTGTGATATAACCTTAAATCCACATAATTCCCAATATATTGGACTTCTTAGACTTTATGCATGTCTGTGATTGAAAATTTATATTTGTGAGAAGAACTAGTTATTTCTTTAAAAACATGTGACTTATAATGAACATTTCAACAGTACTTTAAGTTTGCAAAGTGCTAGCACTGAAATCCGCTGAAGATGTTACCCTTCAATTTATAGATTCCCCATACAAGTCTGAGAGAGGGTAAATGGCTTGACCATGGCCACACACACAGTTGGTGTTAGATCTTTGATTCGAGCACAGATCTTCCTGACTCTGAGACCAGCAATGATCTAGCTACTATGGGTCAGTTCAGGTGCACAATTCTGTTTAATATGTAATCAAGTTTAAAAAATTTTTTTTTAATAATTTTATTTTCCCCCCAATTTATGTAATTAAGTTTTAATAAAATTTCTGGTCTATTAGTCCATTTAGTTCAATAAATTGGGTAATGTAAATAATTTATTAAATTTCCTTAATAACTTTTTAGTTAAAAATTTTCTAGATTCTATAATTACAAAGGATAAGATACATCTTTAGAGGTCACATAATTTAATGTGGTATAGTTAGGTAGCTGCCAAACCATCCAATCTACTTATTTACATCTGAGTATAAGCAAAATACTTAAAAAATAGCAATTTTAAAATTGCTGTTTAAAATTCATTAAATCTGTTTAAAATGAATTTCTGTTAAATCTATTTTTTGAAATAACTATAATATATAATGTGGCAAGGTTTTTTTTGCAGTATTCATCAAATTTCCATTTTAACTTGGGAAAAATGCCCTCCAAATTATTTATTTCAACCTATAAGTAACTTGATTATTTCACTTTTGGTACAGTTAGTCTGTAAACAAAATAACTTCATATAAATAGTAACAAATCCTGGAAAGGTCTTAAAAATTTAGTATAGATATATTTCTATTGATACATATTTTGGGTTCCTGTCCTCAAAGTCAGTTTAAAGTACTTGAGCAGGCAACTATTTTTCTGTGACCACAAGATGAATTCATTCTGTTAAACCCTAAATACTGCCTTCTTTATTTTTCTCCATTCATTATCATTTCCACATTAATAAGGCATGATTTAGTGAAACAAAGAAAACTTTATTTCTTCTAAACATAACAAAACACATTTCTCTTCAAACAACTACTGTATTACTTTTAGCATAAATGGGTGGATTTAAAATACATATCTGCAAACTCTGCTCCCCCCAACAAGACAACGTTGTGCACAAACTAGCAAATTATACAAAAAAAGCTGTCAACTGTCCACAGGGAGTGCGTCCAGTCACATTTTTCAGTCAGTCAGCTGAGGGTTATGTCAATATTTAGTATCTGTTCTGTAGAAAGAACACAACACAAGTATGAAAATCATCACCTGAAAGGCAAACAGCTCATTTATTTAGTATTCCTATCATTACCTAAATGTAACTGTATTTTAATGGATCTGTTTATCTGCTTACCTGAAAACTAGATGGAACCCAAACAAGTGAAGCCAAAGTGAGAGGTCAGAAAGGTAATAAACAAGAGCAGGGCACTGAATTTCTGAAGGGAAAAGGCTGTGGATTACTACAGAATCAAAGTTCAGTAATATTTTAGATGGTCAGGTTCAAAAGAAAAATGAGTTCTTTCACTGTATTTAAAAGTCGATAGAAATCCTGAATCCCCAACAAAACAATTTTACACATCCTTCATTCAATATTTGCAAAAGAAAAATTAAAGAGCTGTTTCACATTTCTAAGTGAAAAATGCTCTAAGAAAATTTTAATTTCCATCCTTTAAGTGAGTAATTCCATTTTCCTGTAGCAGAGAGAAGGTGGCTTTTGTGTTAGGGGTCCTCTTACCCTTAAAATGGATCCAACTGCTTTTAGTATGTTTTAAAAAAAATTAATAAACCAGATGCTGAATTAATATAGGATAATCCTTGCTCCTATTTCCTTAGAGAAGCTTATTTAATGCTAAAGATGTTCCATAAAGATGAGCCAACCTTTACTGACTTATTTATGTCTGTCTGTGCCTTTTTTTACATTAAGAAAGGAAACAAAAACACTTCAAGAAAATTGAAGAATGCTTTCATACAATTTTATTGTATTTCTAATTAGGCTAAAATCGTTCATGAGCCTACTAAGATTTCCCTTGAGATGTCCATGGTGAAGGGCGCAGTAGGTAAAAGGTTATAAAAAATCACCTTTTAGCTGATCAAGGTAGGGTACATGGTGCAGCTAGAAGATCTTAAAAACAAGAATAAATCATAGCCAAAATTTTCCCATTCATATCACCACAATTTCAATCAATCCCTAAGCCATTCCGTCCTTGCCTTGGATATGTGCAATGCTTCAATGACGGGGAAGGTAAAAGGCTTAAGTTTTATGGCCACTCATCTTGAAGAATGTAAAATTCTTCTAATGCAGGAAAAAGAATGTAACTTATTCTTAAGAGCAAAAAATAGCATCAAAAGCTTATAACTCTAGGCAGAGCTTGGCAACCAAGCAAAAAGGTGTGTTATTACATCTTTAGTAACTGTACATCTCAGTATCTGACTCTTCTGATCACTTGTACCTCATATAATTTTTTACTAATTGGTTCCTGGATGAGACAGGAGTTTCAATTGACTCCATTCTCCTCCACTGAGAAAACAACAGGGAAAAAACCTGAGCCACAAGCATGATTTAAAAAAAAAATAATTCAAAGCTAAATAAAAATTTTCTTCTTTTATACAGAGATTTTAAAAATACCTGCCTTTTTAAACTGTGAAGTCAGGCTTTTTATATTCTTACTTTTCTTTTCTTAAGGATCTTTAGACAAAAGCAGAAACCAACTTTTTTAAACATATTAAAATATTTGCAATTAAAGGCAACACATTTTATATACTATTACAAAAATAAGCTATTATAATTTTAACAAATTTAAAAATAACTGTCCTTGATATTTTGTTCTTAAAAATAATACTGGTATGGTATTTTGAGAATTTTTTTACTATAGAAATGAAGGGTTAAAATCATTTAAACAATTTATTTTCACCTAACATTTAAGGTCTCAAAAGACAAAAATGTTAAAACGTTGTTATAACACATTGTCTCTAATCTCTGTCGTTGAGTAAAATGTATAATGGTCCTCAAACAAAGGTCATGATGGGCAAAATAGATATTGCTCACTTTGCTAACTTCCTCATTTTAAAAATAATTACTTGGAGCAAAATAGAATACATCTCAAATCTATAGAATCCTTTTTTCTCATAACTAGTTAAAAATAAAATAATATAACAAGCAACTCGTTTCAAACTGGTGACTTCAAATTGGATTCAAGGTACTTCTTATAATGTTGCTATTGTACCTGTGGCGACAAGACACAGGAAAGGATAGAGTGGTGATAATAATCTCTGTGTGGGCTGTGAGGACAGTGAGTTCTCTGTCTACTCTAGATCTTTGAGGAATTTTTTTTTCCTTTTTCTTTTTTTTTAAATGAGGCAATGGGGGTTAAGTGACTTGCCCAGGATCAAACAGCTAGTAAGTGTCAAGTGTTTGAGGCAGAATTTGAACTCAGGTCCTCCTGACTCCATGGCTGGAGCTCTACTCACTGAGCCACCTACCTGCCCCTTACTCTAGATCTAAAAAGCTGTAAAGTCCATTGTTTGGGCAACAAATTAAAAAAAAAAAAAAAAGAAAATGCAAAGCTGTCAAAGATCTGTCTTAAAACCAAAAATCTTTCACACATTCAGGAATGGTAGGGATACAACCACTCACACACGATGAAATTAAAAATTAATCTCCTACTATTAATGGACAAAAATAATAGTTTACTATGAATAAAACTCAAATTTCCTTTTCTGATACATACAATATTATTTAAAGAAAAATAGCTTTTGGTAAGTTGTTAAGTCAACTTTTGTCTTAAATATTCATTTAAGAATCCTTATGCACCTACTGAAGTTGGTTCATTGCATTGCAGTTTTCTTAATGTACACTGGTTGCCTTTCAGAGGACACATGGGCAGTTTTAAAAGATGAAGGTATAAACCTATGACCACATACATACTTACACTCGTTTTGGTACCAATGTTAAAAAAGCTTAATTGTTTCAAAATATTCTTATCCAGTCTTATTTTTAGGTACTTGATTAATGAGAAACAAATTGTTTCAACAGGACTATTATAATGTCTCATTTAATAAGCAAGGACATGAATTCTGTGTGCTAAAATTTTGTAGAAACTTAAAAGTTTATGTAAGCACAAAAGAAAAAGGTCAAGTTGTAATGTAAGAGGTTTTTTTTATTAAAAAACACACAAATAAAACAATATGCTTAGTTCTAATTTTCTAGATTGAATTTGTTTTTGAGTTACAGAAGGGCAAAAGGCATCAAGCCAGCATACTTTTTAAAACGATTTTTTAAAAGTTTTATTTTTAGAAAATGTACTGTCAAGATTATCCAACTGGGCTGTGACTTTATCAGCCAAATTTCAGCCGGAAGTGTTTTTTTGGTAATGCCAACTTCTAAATCCCTAAAAACAAAGTTCATAATTAAAGTGCTAGCACATGTTTTTGTTTTACTATTTAGTCGATATTTAGTCACAGACTACAAAGTACTTACCTGTATGATCAATACGTTCTTTGCCTTTTGTTAGATTCTTCTCTGGGTGAATCTGCCAACATAACTTTAAGCCTGACGCCATTCAAAATTTTTCCATGTAAAGTAGCTATGGCATCATTAGCACTTGTTCTATCTGCATACTTGGCATACCCCACATTTTTTCCTGATACAAGGTAGACTTCAATCAGATTCCCAAAACGACTGAAACAAAATAAGCTCTTTTAAGTGAAACATGTAAATAAAGCTGTTGTAAAAGGAGCCTAAAATTACTCTAATTAGTTTAAATAATGTTAAAATACTTTTGTTAACATTCCTGAAACCTAATCTTTTGTATGGCTCCTTACCAAACCTTTTATATACCTTAATTCATTACTAATGGCCACTGAAAAGAAAGGAAAGGATTAAATATCAAAAGTACACACAATTAAATTACCAAAGGACCTCAAAAGTGTCCCTTAAAAATTTCTCTGTGTTATCAAAGGTTCTGAAAGCACAGAAATCATGTCCTCTGTTAGCACCTAATTTAGCATATCTCTTAGAGTTAGCATGATTGTGTCGGGTTTTCCCAATGAGACTGTAAGCTCCTTAAGGGTAGGGGCAGCTTTACAAGCTTCTTTTGTATCCTCCAAGTGCCCATCACTGCACTTAGCACAGGAAGTGCTCAATAATCACCTGTTAAATTAATTATACATTATAATTATATAATTATTATACATATACAATTAAACATGTTACAATAACAGAAAAACAGTACAGGTTCACCCCAGGTCAAAGTACTGGTCAATTATTTCTAGGTTCTAACTTTTAAAGACAACTCTATGAACAACTCAGAAACAAAAGAAAAGTTAATTCCGTGGGAATACAGAATTACAGGAATATAGGATCAAAACATAGAAAGGGAATAGGCAAAAAGGCAGAGGTTTCTGAGAGAGGTAATATAAGGAAAGGTTCTTAGAAGAAATAATTGTATTTGATTCGTTGATATAACAATGGGGAATTTTCAACACTGTGAGCTTATTGGGTAACAAAATACCCAATACTTAAATATTTTCACGTTTAATCCTTATTTATTATTGATCATGACCCTATAGAACTGAAGTCTTACCAGAATATATCCTCCAGTATGTCCAAAGGTAAGGGATGAGGATTAAACACAATAAAAAGTCTTTCCTTCACAGCAGTTTCAGGCGGGGCTTTCTTTTTACATGATGGAAGCACAATATCTGTCTGAATTTGAGGCAACTGAGACCCAGAACTTCCTCCAAATTGCTGTTGAGAAGTGCATAATGAGAAAATGATAGTGAACTGGAAGGCTGTGATTTCAGTCAGAGAGGATTTTTAATAAAAAGAGATGCTGCTAAAATTTTACCCATGCCTTCTGATAGCGCCTTTATTACCTTGGATGTTTTTCTGGGTTACAACTCTGCTAACTGTCTTTAAAAGGTAACAAATGTAATGCAAGTCAAGGTGACTCTTAAAACAATTTTCTTCTAGTTTCTTGATGTGTGAAGAAAGAAGAAAACAGGCAACATATCTCCTTACCAAAGATGCCAGAAATTGTTGTTGACCAGGGTTATTCCACACCATTGATGCAAGCTGTGCAGCGACCATCTGGGTTGCCATTTTTCTAAGGAGGCTGAAAATGTAACGCCTGATGTCAGTCACACAATGTTATTAGAGAAATTGTAATAATATGATTAGTAAGCAACGCTATTATTTTATTTTTCTATGAAATAGTCAAACTTGAGATGTTTAGGTATATGTTTAAAATTTTTCCTATTTTCCCTCGGATAAATTCAAAACTCTGTCTCAGCCATACATTGAATATTACTTACTCTGTTCCATTGCTTCCATCATCAAGGAAAGAGACACCTATCCGATTTCCAGGAGGGTACTGAAATCCATGTAGCTTGTATTTTGCATATATAGCTGATGCTACGTTAAAATATTGAACCACTCCATGACCTTTAATAAAGCAGAAAATACACACAAAACCTAAATGAAAAATTTGTTGAAAAACATAATTGTTAAAAAGCCCTTACTGAACAGATCCATCATGATATCTAGAGTTGACAGATTTAATATTTCCCATTTTATTGATACTTACAAAAGGAAAGCCTAATTGGTTGCAAACGGCTTCATCCTGCCAGTCTGCTTACATGAAGTTTACTACGGCTTTTCACCAATAAGGTTTATAGTATTCTTCCTTAGTTAAGAAGAGAAGGATAAAAACTAACTAGGAATAACAAATTTGAAAAAAGTAGTTATTTTCTATTTTGATCTGAAGGGTGATGAAAGAGCTGTGGGGGGAATGGGTGTGTAGTGATGTTTATATTTAAAAAAAAAAAGAAAAAATCAATGAAACATTTTAGAAAATACAAAGAAAAGAACAGAAGAAAGCTCGGAAGGGAGAACTAGACAGGCAGGATGATTCTGTTACTATTGTGTTAAATTTAACATACATTTAGAATTGTATGGAAGAGAAGTTGTTTTATTTTTCTATTCTTTGTATATTGAAATTTCATATTTGTTGATCTATGTTAAGCTCATAATAAAAAAGGAACTTAAAAAAAGAAAAAAAAAGAGAAAGATGTAGTCACCTTGAAAGCTAACAGTTAAATGAGCCAACTTAAGCAGTTTGTAGATCTGGGTTAGATCTGGGTAATATGATCAAGTCAGATTAAAACATCTGTACTGTAAAAAGGTTATTTAGATTAATAGATACTACCTGCAGTATCTGAGACAGAAGAGTGCTTATTTTCTTATTAAACATTTTTAGGGAAGGAAAATTTTCCACCTTGTTCCTTAGGGTGTTGTTACTCTATTTAAGAATTTTCCCCAGCTAATGTTCATACCTATTACTATATCCTAAGTCTATTTCCTCTCAATCCATCCTCAGTGGTAAAGAAATATAAATGCTTTCAGGAAACCACCTTCATTGACTGAACTAATATTCTATCATTTACAACCATATCTACTATCCAAACCTAATCCAAAGTAGGGAAACTACAAAACATTAAAAAAAATAACTAATCATATCCCACTCCCCACTCAATTAATAAAGCTTAGCTGTGTAAAACCCTCACTCCACACACCTTTTGCTTGCCTGTTAATTCAGCCACTGGTATGAAGCCTTACCCAGGCTCTCATCAACTTTGGAGCAGGAAAGAAAGTTTCTGATATGGGGTCAAGCAGCAGGTCTGGGGACAAAGGCAAATTCCTACTCCATAGAGCTGGACCCTGGGTGGACTAGAAAAGCTCAACTCTGGGTTTTCAAGGACTGGACATGGGCATATATGGTTGTGAAACCATCTTCTCTTGGGTCCTGCTTTCAAAGTTAAGTTATTTCATATTTAGTATCTGAGAAAATGGAACAGTACAGTACTAGTCCTTCACAAAAATTTTAGACATTCTTTGCCACTTTTCGAGCTTTATTTGCTCCTCTCCCAGAACCCTCTTTTCCCGTGCCCTCATAACTTCCCCCACACTGCACATGCTTTAAAATGATCACTCAATACTCCAGCAATACCACTTCCCCTATCATTATCACACCAAATTTATACTTGAAGGCAGCTATGTAAGGTTGTATTGTGGACAGAGTGCTGAACTCGGTGTTAGGAAGACTTGTATTCAAATACTGCCTCTGATACATACTAATTGTATGACTCCAGACAAATCACTTAACTTTATCAGCTTGTTTTCTCATCCAGAAAATGAGGGGGCTGGACTTAATGGCTTCTCAAATCGCTTCTAGTTCTAAATTTATGATCTTATGATTCGAAGGGCATTATATAAGCATCTTATTTGATCCTCAGAACAAACCTTTAAGGTAGGTGCTATTATCATCCCTATTTCAAAGATGAGGAAACCGTCTAAGAGTAGTTAAGAGAGTCAGCAAAGTTCCCAGAGCTAGCTATTATAGCACCTGAGGCAGAATTTGAACTCTGGTTTTCCTGACTTAAAGTCTAGCACTCTACCCACTAAGCTTACACACCTTCAATCATTCAACAGAACTGACTTAGGCTAGGTATTTGTAATAAAGCAATATGATACACTCTACTGATAGAACTTCAAGGCTCCTGCACTTCACAAGATTTTATTATCCCAAATGAAGCTATAAACAGAATTCCAGGAAGAGTGATTATTTGACAACTTAGAGGGTAGGAAGGATAATTACCTGTGTCTCAATTACACATTAAATGATAGGTCACAAAATACATTTTTTTTTTTTGGCTTTGGTAAGCTCCACTCTACCCTCTAACCCTATCCCTAGCATACCTCAGAAATTATTGCCACATCTCAAGGCCTAGATTTGTTTCCTCCAAACAGAAATGTGGCCTTTTAATTCCTGCCCTGAAATGCACTTTTCATCCGTCTAGTTTTTAGCTCCCTTGCACCTGAGGCATCTTTGGAAATGGAAGGTGAATGGTAGCAGTAAGGGCAGAGAAATAAGATATTTATCTGAACCTCCTGAGGTGTCAATTTTTCCACTGTTCTTAAGACACCATCAATTTCATTTGGTTTATAGTATAAGTTCCACAGACTTTATGGTTTCTATGGTTTATGTTGACTGATTAGGCCAATATAGTAAAAAGAATAATGAACTGAAAATCAGGAGAATTGGAGAGAGAAAATCAACTCCTGATTCTGCTACTAAATTAGTTTATATGGCCTCAAGTAAGTCACAAACCTTTGTTCTCCAATTTCTTCACCTATTAAGGAAAAAAAAAGACTAAATAACATCAAATGTCTTTTTTAGTTCTAATATAATCAAGGAGGTTGGATTTTAACTACTTCATGTCATCAGTCCCAGGTCTCTTTTTGTCTAAGGAAATATGTAGCTTTTCCTTGAGAATCCAATTGTGGAAAAGCCATCTCTGGCCCAATAGTATCTTGACTGAATCCTATCTGGTGAGAAGCATCTGCTTTTGGAAGCTTGGATTAAAAGCAGAGCCATAAGCTACTAACTAAACTGTCCACATATGCTCATTCATCTTAGTTTGTTGCACATTTACCATGGCTTTCTGCTTATAACTTAAGAAAAAAATTAGAGAAAACATTAGCCTTAGTATGAGGCAAGTTTACAGCAATAACTGAGAAGCAAGCCACTTTGTATACTGTTAGTAAATTACATTCCTAAAAAATTAACAATAACATCTGGTTTTGATGTTTATTTTAAACACACTTGGAATTAGCTGTTTTAAGGAAATCTATGTTAAATTCTGTTGTAAAATAAAAATTTTAAATTACTCACATTTTATCTGCATAAGATTGGGTTTTTGCATAATCATTTCTTAAAGGACACTCAACAGTTAACATTTTATAGTACTTTGTTTTGCAAAGCAATAACCATCTGAGGTTGGTAGTGCAAATATTATTTCTATTTTGCAGATGAAGAAACCGAAGCTCAGCAGGAAAGACCTTCCTCGTGCTCAGCTAGTTAAGAGTGCCTACATTTGAATCTGGGTCTACCTTCAAGTCCAATGCTCTTTCTACTACACCATACTTATTCATCTACCTTTCAATTCAATTCAATTAACATTCATTAGGCACTTAGTATGTGCATAGCACTATGCTAGGTGCTGTGGATACAGAGACAAGAAAAAAATAATCCCCAATATTAAATTGCACACATTGTACTGCAGTGATACAACATGGACACAAATAAGTAAATACAAGGTGATTTGAAGCAGGAGAAAGCATTAACAATAGGGAAAGAGAGGGAGAGGAGATCAGGGAAGGCTTCACAGAGGAGGTAGCACCAGAACTGAGCCCTAAAGGAAAGTAAGAATTGGAGATAAAGAGACACTATCCCACATTGATATTTGTTCTATAAAACAACACTTTGGGGAGTTACAGTGATCCAGTTACAAATTCATCTAAGCTATATTTTTTCATCTTGTCCACAAGAATATCATAAGGTTTTGCCAAATGTCTTGCTCACATTCAGAGAATATGTTTAGGGGTGGGAAACCTGTGGCTTCGAGGCCACATGTGGCCTTCTAGGTCCTTGGGTGCAGCCTTTCGACTGAATCCAAATTTTACAAAACAATCCTTTTATTGAGGGAATTTGTACTGTGAAGTTTGGATTTAGTCAAAGGGCTGCACTTGAGGACCTAGAGGGCCACATGTGGCCTCCAGGTCAGAGGTTCCCCACCCCTGGTTTATACTATTCTCTTGATCTGCCAATCTAGTATCCCTATAAAAAAATGATACTGCTTAGTAAAAGAAGAAAAGAAGTTACTGCTTCCCTAAGCTGCTCAAAAATCATCTCTCTTAAATGTCAGGAATATTGGCCTTTCATTTACAAAATCTACTTTCTTCTAATTTGTGAAAATCAAGGCAAATGTCTTCTAGAAAGTTCTCCTTTCTACACAGTTTCTCCAAGGTCACACAGTCAGCAGTTTAGTGCTCCTAGCTACAAGTTCTTGCGGGGAGAGGCAGCACAGTGAAGTACTGGACTCAATTTGAAGGCTTAGTTCAAGGTCTACCCTTGCTATTTAATAGCTGTGCTTTTCTAGTAACCCAGCCTCAAGTTTCATCCTGTGTAAAATAGTATTTGCATTGCATACCTTATAATGATGTTGTGAGAATCAAATAAGATGATCCTTGGAAAATGATTTATTATAAAGCACTACATTAATATTAGCCATTACTACTTCCTTATGGTACAATCTGTCCAAGTTCGGAGATCTGAGTTCAAAGCTGCTGGAATCAAATATGCTAAATCTATATTTAGCTTTGATTCCTTCTTAATCATATTTGTCCTACTCTTTCCAGTCTGAGGATCATTTTTCTCAACTGAGAAAACTGTTAACGAAATTCATTGAGTGCTCACTTTTTAACTAGTGGTGGTTGACATCACACTACCTGCACCATATATCCCATCTTCTTTTTGTCTTGAACAGACCTTTCAAAAAAAAAATCTCTTTTTGTTCTTAACATTTTTTCATTCTCCATTGGTTAGCTTTAACCTTTCTAACAGTACTGTCAGAAGTATGTGCCACTCTTCTTTATTTTTTCTTGGCTACATACCAGTTTCTAGCTTTACCAGGTGTTCTTTTTCAGCATGAGTCCATCAGAGAGTTCCCTGTGAAACTAATGTGGTTACTTTAAAGGCCTCTTCTTTGCTTTATATGGCTCAGTCAGAATCATATTACCAGTTTTTTGTCTTTGTGAGCCTTCTACCTCTCTTGAATAACTTTCCCTTTCAGAATCTCTGGCAATGGCATAACATCTATTTTTACTCTCTTTTTGTGAAGTCCAGAGCTCATGACTGACTGTGCCCAGCATTTATTTGCCTCCTTGGCTATGACAAACTCTAGCATGACACAACTGCTGTCCCTACGTCATCCTCATTTTCATTTCACCAACTAGTTGTGGGGTTTTGTTCAGAGTTAGTGTCCAATTAGCAGTTACCTTTCTTCTTTATCTGTTTTTGAGATGACTATGCCCATGCACTAGAGGAAGATACTCTGCTGTAATATTTCCTTTTCTACCATCTAGGAAAAGATCACCATTTCAATGTAATTCAGATTGGAAAGGATGCCAATGGTCATCTAGTTCAACCATAGGTGAAAAAGAATCCTGTCTACAACATACCCAACAAGTGGTCATCCAGTCCTTACTTGAAGACCTCCAATGAAGAAACCCACTACCTCCTGAAGCAGCCCATTCCATTTTTGGATAGTTCTAATTGTTAGGAAGTTTTTCCTTACATTAAGCCTAAGTCAGAAATTTTGATGTCCTGTTAAGTTAGTTAAAACAGGATTCTAAATATATAGCAATAACTCTGTTAATGAAGAGGCCATATTTCAATGGTAAACTTTGTCAGAAACTTCATAATCAGAGACAGAAACAACATAGGAGGCAAAAGGATCCATACGGGATATAGTAGCAATACAGTACAGTGGAAAAGAGTGGGACTTGACATAAGCTCAAATGCAACCTCTGATACTTGTTAGTATGAGCAAGTCATTTAACATCTCTGAGTGTCAGTTTCTTCATCCGTAAAGTGGGAACAGTACCATTTATAGTACCTACCTAACAGGACTGTTAGAAGGATCAAGTGAGATACTGTATGTAAAGTACTTTTCAAACCTTAATATATTATTTTTGTTACTATAGTTATTATTATTGTTATTGCTATACAGTGATAAAAGGGAGAAACAATGATTTCCTAATTAAAAACATCAAATGTCAGAAAACTTAAAATAGGTATTTAGAAATTTTGGGGAAAAGGGAAAAGAGAACTGAAGTTGTGTTAAGGTTTAAAGTGTGACCCAATTTGTACTCAGTCAGAGCAGATAGGGTTACTGTACCTATAAGACTACTTTCTTTCTTTTATGATAGGCAAAAACAGATTCAGGCCCTGGAAAAAAAAAAAATCAATGATGACAGGATACAGACTCCAACCCTAGCAGTTCTTCTTAGTAGAATTCTAGTAGACTTAGACCAAAGATGGCTTGTGTGGGTGACTAGGGACTATGCTTGTCTGACCTGTCACCCTAAAAGGACAAGATCAGTATTACCTCAAGACTGAAAGAGTATTGAGTATTTTTTTCCCCTTGTCAAAGGAAATCATTCCACAATCAGATAATCAATTCCCAATATTTAAAAGGCAAATGCCTGGTTAAGGTAATAATCCAGTGTGATTTAATTCCAATTAAACTAAAAACAATCCTTCAAAAAGTCCAAAAAACTTATCAGATCTTTTCCTGTTTTGATTCAAGAAGAGAATAAAGAGAAGAGGGAGTCACTGGGATCTGAAATAAGCTACAAGAGGTAGGGTGGGAGAAATAGGGAGAAGCTGGCAAGAGTTAGAAGCTAGGAATGAAGACAGACTTTTCAGACAACACAATTTGGCCCAGGGTTCACCTGACTACTTTCAATTGGGTAGGGATATTTACAAGTTAGGCACTGAGATTTTTTTTGTTTCATAGTTACAAATATGAAGCTCTGCTTCATAAGATTTATGTAATTCTTTTTTTTAAAGAAATGACTATATATAAGGTTTATATAATTCTTATTTGCTTGATTAATATGGATGACAACATAATGAAGCTTCTTTTACAGGGAATCAAGGTCAATACGATATTTCTAAAACTCAGAGAAAGAGAAACTCCAAATCCTGTCATGTGGTCATTAAAAAAATTGATCACAAAAGGAACAATTATAGGAAGTTATTTTTAAACAGAATAAGAGCTTAATTAAGAAAGAAAATTAGAAATTATTTTTACCATAGTTAGAGTAAGGATCTCGTTGGACTTCACAATATTCCAAGCCTGGGACTATATCAAAAATGCTGTAGAGCTGCTCTTGTGTGAAAGGAACGCGTGACACCACTGACAAGCGTTTGGAGATGGTCTCTTGGCCTCGGATATCATTCTTTTCAAAACAGGGAAATTCTGGCTGTTCTTCTCCAACAAAATAACAAATATAAGTTATCAAATTTTTGTTCACTTATTAATTTAAAACATCCTTAAAGTTTTAGGTACAAGAAAATAAAACTGGTATATAATGATAGACTTCTTAAATAAAAGTAGTCATGTGAGATTGGGATGCTATGTAGTGTCCCACATAAATGGCGTCATATGGAATATACATAAGCCTTAAAATAAAATGAGTCCTCTAAAGAATTTAAAACATGCAAGTATAAAAATAATTTCGATTGTTTGGAACACCTCTAGGTTTGTTCTCTTGCTTGCAGTAATAAGAGACCAACAACAAGAGACAGAAAGCTCTTCACTACACAGAGCAATATAAGCAGAGAATGTGTTTAGTTTATTCAATGATATATAAGTATAGTTTAGAAAACTTCATACTCTTCCATGAATTTCAGTTGGGAAAATATATTCCCCAAACTTCTGGGGACTCAGAATTCTTACTCACTAGCCATTCTTCTGCCTGTCCTCCAAAAACCTTTCTCTGATTCAAATCCAAAGACAGTATATTCATGAGGCAGATGTTCAAGACTGACAGATTGCTTCCACTATGTTGAGCACATCAAGGAGCAGGTGAATGTGGGTACGATGTGTCTGAGGCAGCAAGTTCTACAATGCCCTAACCATCTATAAGTGCTGTTTCTAAACCTTTACTTTTTAATAAAAACAGCAATCTTTGGAGAAGCTATACAATACTGATATGCTTTTGGAAGTTATGAATTTGTCCAGCTATTGTGAAACTATGTCCAAAGAGTAACTAAACTGTACAGTGGAGACTCTTTGAACCATTGCTAAATATATTGTCTACCGAGGTTAAAGACAGAGGGAATGGACCCATAGATAAAAAGATATTTGCAATAGCATTTTGGGGGGTTGTTGTTATAGCAAAGGTCTGGAAACAAAGTGAGTGCTCATCAACTAGGGAATGGTCAAATAAATCATAGTACATGAATATAATGGGTTATTTTTGTGTTATAAGAAATAATGAAGGATTCAGAGAAACCTGAAAGGATTTGTATCAACTCATGCAGGCTGAAATGAGCAGAAATAGAACAATTTATATGATGACCACAATAATGTAAAGAAAAACAACTTTGAAAATGAAGCCTGTCTCTTGCCTCTTGACAGAGAGGTGATGAACTACAGGTGCAGAATGAGACATAACATTTTCAGACATGGCCAATGTGTTCTAACTATACTTATTGGTTATAAGGAAGGGTGATTTAGTGGATAATGAAAGAAAAAGGAAATAGAGTCATTAAAATATTTTTAAGATACACAGAAGAAAAAGTTTAGAAGGGGACACAAAGAAGGCAATATTGTTACTACTCTGTTAAATTTAAAACACTTTTGAAAATGGTATATAAAAGCTCACAGCTTCATATACAATCATCTTTTTATGTTCTTGTCAACTGAAATGTTTGATGATTGTTAGGTTTATATTAAAATTTTTTTTCAACTTCACCTTTAATTTTCATTCACCTCTCAGATTAGAGATTGTTTACACAGTCAAAAACTACAGAGAATTTGTGATCTCGCTACAATATGAGTATTATATCCAAGGATGCAGATCACAACTGTCTGCCCATCCTATACAATTCTTATTCATGGACAGACTGTCTATAAAATATGTTTTTTCAAAGGTATAATCACTCATATTATCATAAAAAGTAGTACTACTTACCAAAAGGAAACATATTTACTCTATGTTCATGTCCCAATGCCTCCTGCCTCATACTACTATAATAATCTTGTTCAGAAGATTCAGATGCTTTATTTTTAGGTTCAGCCAAGATTGCTCTAAAACCTGAAAAAGATAGCTCAAACATTTTCAGTTTCACATAAATGGTTATCTGTTCCACCAGTGCTCCATTCTAAAGTGTGTGTGTGTGTGTGTGTGTGTGTGTGTGTGTGTGTGTGTGTGTGTCCCTTGTTGGTATCAACTTCTAATGTCCTGGGAACTCCTGACATGAAAATTCTCTTCATCGATACAAACTGACACATCATCTGGAATTTAGTATTTGAGTTACCAATAGCACTCAAAGGAAAGCTAGTATATGCTAGAGTCAGAATCTGAATCAGATTTATCTAACTATAAGGTTCTATCAACCACACCACTTTGCCTCTTAGCATATACTAATGTCAGAAATAGAATTTAAAGGTTATATACCTGCTGCATCTCACTAAACTACCTAATTCTTTAACTACTAGAAACAACCCCCTCACATTTTCATAGAACTTTACTGTTTACATAACATTTTTTCCCTTATAAAACCCCTAACTTATGTTTGACTCTACATACTTAACCATCTTTTTTTTTCTTTTTTTGGGCGGGGAGAGGGGAATTCTTTTACTTCAGCTATGAGCTATTTTGGAACTAGACACTATCAAATACAATTTACTTATGAATACTGTGTCCACAAAGATACGTCTTTAATACAAAGAAATAAAACAGCCTGATTTTTCCAAGCCCACAAAACTCTGACTTGTTTTCTTCTCTACATAAATACTTTCAAAAATAAGTTAATGCTATTATCATTTTATCTATCATAACAGTTGTCCTGACATTTTTGTTTTTAGGACATTGTTGTCAAAGAAAATTATTAGCAGATTGATCTGAAAAATGTCCATCTCAGGGCTCTATATATCTAAAACCCAACTACTTAGATTAAGGTCAAATTCGAAGTGAAACCAGAATTGAGAGTTGTTCTTAAAAAAACAAACACGGATAGATCTTCAAAAGTAAAAGTATTAATCAAACATTCTTACTTCGATCACAGTTTTCTATGGCCTGGGCAGCTTGTGATGGCTTTAAGTATCTTACATAGCCCAAACCTTTACTTTCTCCAGTGCTTTTATTCTTAATAATGCTGCAATACTCAATGTCTCCATAGACCTAAAAGATTTAAAAAACAAAAACGGCATGTACAATCAAAGTGTATATTAAAAATTTAACGTCAACAGCTTAGACCTTTGGAGAAAATTAAGACTGAAATGTAATCATGCCAATTGCTTGGACAGATATGGAAATTAGAGTTCATAACTACATTATTATAGAATGTAGTGCTAGGAAACACTAGGAAATGATATATTATTGTAACTACTATTAATATATTATTGCTAATAATATAGTATATGTAGTAGGAATATAAAAGGTTTTGGAATATTTCCTATAATATTTTTAACAACTTCTACTCTGAATATTAAATAACAAAATAAGCAAATTTTGGAAAATGAGTTTATTAAAGACGCTGACTAAAAATACCTTAAATTTATCCCTTAGATCTTCTTCCGTGTATGATTTTGGTATCATAACAAAGATTCTTGTAAGTTCTTCATCTTCTACATCCCGGTGGCTCCCAGATGATCTTGCCTGGGCAATGAAAACCTAAGAAAGAGATTTAGTTAAATATGAAAAACTAGTCCATGACCTTTTCTAGATCCCCAGTACTTTTATGATTATTATGTTTTCTCCTAAAGTTCTATAGTACAAAATAAATATTAACGTAGTTCTAATCCACTAATGTCCTAATGTGATGCTTCCTTGTGGTGTTGAGGTGACCCTAGATTCTCAAAGGCAATACCACTGGAATGTAAGTTCTGATGGGTACCAAAAAGGACTGTTCTAAAAATACTGTAAAGGCTGTCTGACTATTTGCTTTTTCTGTACCATAAACTAGCTGATAACTAGTCTGACCAAAGGATGATGAATTTTTCAGCTACAGCAATCCTTCAGGCTGTATAGTATAATAGATAGAGAGAGCAGTGGACTCAGAGTCAAGGTTCGAATTCTGTCTTGAACACCTACTAGTTGTAGGACCCTAGACAAGTCACTTAGCTTCTCTCAGACAGTTTCCTCAAGTGTAAAATGAAAATAATATTTAACATTACGTACTTCATAGGGCTGTTTTGAGAATTAAATGAGATATTACAAGTAAAGCATTTTGCAAACCTTAAAGCACTATATAAACTATTAGTATTATCACCCACTAAGTCAAAAAGGGATTATGCTTTTTATTAATGAAATGAGTACACACATCAATGAAATCACAGATCTCTGAAGTAATGACATATGTATTTGATTAACGTAATGAAATTTGGTAGGTTCTCATCAATTCTCAATGGAAATCTTTACAAACTAATAAAATTATCACTGGAAACAGCATTTGTAGATTTCTATATTCTGTTGCCACTTTTTCTTTGCATAGTTTCATCAACTAAAAAAGTGATAAATGGTCATAGAATATATATATATATATATATGCTTATCAGACTGTAGTGGTGCTGAATAAGAGCCAGTTTTAAAGATTCCTAAAACTTAAACTGATTAGCAACAATCCTATTAAGCTCCTAATTTTTAATTCGACAGATAATTTTTAATTTAACAACCAGTAATACCAACACAGCAAATTTCTTAACAGATTTCAATGACTAAAACTGCAAGATAGGCATAAGTACACTGCAACACCATTATTACAAACAAGAAACAACAAGAGAAGAAGTATAAAGGATGTCATCAAAGAAATGGATATGATCATCCTAGAAAATGCAGCTTGGTATGTGTTGTGGAAAGAGCACTGGACTTGTGGTTAGAAGACCTGGATTCAAGTTTAGCTCTTACCTAGGCAAGTGACTTAATCTGAGTTTTAGCTTCTATATTTGTAAAGGAGAAAGTCTAAGGCACTTATGTGATTTAACAATCAGGGTTGTTTGAGAAGCAAATAAAAAATATAGGCTGTTTTTACTAACTGTAAAGCACTACATAATTTTAAGTTATTAGTATTACTGTTAACTGTAAACTCCAATGACATGGAAAGTTTTAATTTTCTTTTTACCTTCTTCAGCATTTAACATAGTGTTTTGCAGAGAGTACGTGCTCAATAAATATTTTACTGAGTTCTTGTTCTCCAAATATCTGTCTTAGGTTCATAATTTTCATCTGCTGACCTACGCAGATCAAAGGACCAGACCTTAGGCCTAGCCTCTCTGAACTCACTAGTCTCCTTGCTTCTTCTTAAAGACAAACCTGGGGAGATAGTGTCCTAGTTTCCTTCACAAATGGCTTTTATTTCTACTCTAGCCACTGTAGGTAGATAGCTCTACCTCTGGTTTCCCCAGGTGTCACAGAGACAACTCAATCTGGAACTCTACTGTCCACTGTTTGATCTTTTATTACTCTCAATTTCATCTTGTTTTTGACAGTTGTCACTGAACCTCTCTAACAATTACCAAGACTGATCCTAGATTTTGTTCTTCTACCATACCTATTTCTACCCACATCTTCCAATGGGATTTCAGGCTCCTGTCTTTTGGGAGAGAGGAAGAGTCATGTGAAGGACACCAAAGGTCAGGACCAGAGGTTCTTAACCTCATTCTATCGGTTTTATTTTATGCATTTCAAAGCATTATTCTGAGAAGCAGCACATAGGTTTCACCAGACTGCCAAAGGGGTCCATGACACACACAAAAAGGTTCTTATCCATTTATAACTGCATGTTAAGATTCACAGTTAACATGTCAAAAACGTAAGAACCTGGAGAATGGGGAAAGAAAACGCATTTAATTTAGAAAACTTCTAATTTAATACAAATAATATATTACATATGATTCCATTTTGGATAATCTTCAGATATTTTATATCGAGGTGTGTGTGTAGCCCCTAAGTATCTCAATATTTACATGTTTTCCACTAGAATGAAAGATACTTCTGAATGCAGATTATTTTCTGTCTTTATCTGTATCCACAGATTTAGCACAGTACCATTACATACAGCACCACTTATTAAATGCTTGACTGACACTATAACAGAAATTTCTGCAAAGTTGGTAAAGGGTGGCTTTCAGCATTTGCAATTTCTCAGATGAGAAATTATGAGAAGAGCATTGGAAACTGAGAAAGTTTGGCCTGACCAAAATCCTGACCACCAGTAACTGGTGAGGCCAAAGTTAATACCACTGGTGTACACTAAGTAAACAATAACTACCTGATCATAATTTGGAGCCACTCTGTTAACATAGGACTTGTTCTCTAGCCATAATAATCAAACCCTTAGAGCTGCCACGTTTTCCCTGACCTTCCACTTTTTCAGAGGAATGACGTAAAAATCTGAAAGATTCCAGAACAATAAAAAATTATGACAATTGCTTTGGAATTCCCCCCCCCCAAAGGTGAGAAGGGCTCAGGACACCAAGGAATTGCCTTACCTTGGGGCTAAAAAAAATGGGTATGATTTGACTATTGTCAAATACCACGTGTCAAATTTGCTACTTTTGTCCCCCCTACAAAAAAATGACTTACACTACCAGGCCACAATTTCAATGCACAAAATTGTCAGGAGGCTTGAGAGTAAGAAAGTGAGGGGTGTGGGTGGGAATCACAATTATTCACTTTTGCCTATGGGCAAACAGTTTCAACAAAGATCTGCTGGGGTCACAGAAGACCTCAGGGTCGACTAGTGCCCAAAGAAGGCACAGCATCTACTGAATAAGAACGGCCAGCCCACTACTGTCATCTGCCAAAGCTGCCTGGAATGTAGAATGGGCAGAGGCAGGAAAGGAAAGGAGAAAGGAGAAAGGTGGAGGCAGGAGAAGGGGCAGAGGCAGGGACAGAGGCAAGGAGGAAGAGGAAGGGGCAATACCAGTGGTAGGGGAAGGGGAAGGAGAAAGGCAGAGGCAGGGGCAGGTTCGGGGAGGCGGCAGGGGCAGGGCGGCCTCTGAGCTCCCCGCCTCCCCCCCGGGCTCCCGGGGAGCACCGGCGGCACCGGCGATGGGCGGCCTCCCTCCTCGCCCCCTCCTTCCCTCTCAGAGCGGCACCTTGATGGGCTTGGAGTCGCTGGGGCTGAGGCACTGTCCGTGCATCTCCTCCATGGCCCTGCAGGCCTGCGAGCTGCGGGCGAACTTGACGAAGGCGATGCCCTTGGACTCCTTGGTGTGCTTGTCCCGCACCACCCAGATGTCCTGGATCTCCCCGAAGGGCGAGAAGCGCTCCCTCAGCACCGACTCCGGAGTGTACTTGCTGATCACCAGGAAGATGCGGCTGTTGGGCGGCTCGTCCAGGCTGTCCACCCCGGGGCGGAAGCCGCCCCCGCTGCCACAGCTGCTGGCTTCGTCCATGGCGCCCCAAACGCCGCCCGAACACCACCAGTCCCTTTCGATCTCCGTGGTCGCCGCCGTGGCCGTTACTCTCCCCTCACCCTGGATACCTACGGCCGTCAGCCGCCGTTGCTGGGCTCAGCCGGACACTTCCGGAAAGACAAAGCTCCTCGGCTCGGCCGTTGCTGCCACTGCCGCTGCCGCCCAGAGCGGCTTCCGGGAGCGGCGGGGGTGCTGCGCCCCCTCGAGGGCGGGAGGAGGAGGAGCCTTCACTCAGCCCGCCCCCTCCCGGCCGCCCCTCGCGGTGCCGGGCGCTGTCCACGTGGGGCCTCCAGGTCGCCTACTGGATCTGTCCAGCTTGTTGGAAACGATGGAGAGCCTTGGCATTGTTCTGCCTGATAGCACCTCCCACAGGATCTCCGGCCTGGATGACCCTAAAAAGTCTACCTCCCTATTTCCACTTTGGCCACCACTATCCCTCTGCAGTCATAAAACCAGTGGACTGCCCCTAAAGGATTTAGAGCTGGAAGGACCACGAGGGACCATCTCCTCCTCTATCTTTAGGGGTAAGGGTCCCTGATTTCAAGAAAGTGACTTGCCTAACCGAGGTCAGACAGGTAGTGTGTTTCACTGCTCACATTTGCATCTAGAGCCCCAGACTTCATGACCCAAAGCAGAGGTAGGGTGGAGTGGGGAAGTGGGGACAACCACTGATTAAATCCAATCATCAGGACAGTGGGCTGTAACCCCTTTTCCTACATCTTGCCCAGAATCAGTCCTCTATGCTACTTCCTGGTCATCTCCTCATTGGATTGTGAGCTCCTTGGTTATCACTCAATTCGTTTCCCTAAGAAAAGACTTAGCTTTTTTTCTAATCATTTTCCTAAAGGGAAAAGTCTAAAAATAATTTCTTTTTTAATCAGAAAAATATTATTTCTTAATATTTCTAGTTGAACTTAAATTTTTAAAAATATGCTTCTACACCTATATCCCTAGGACCTAAAACAGTGCCTTCAATTAGTAGGCCCTTAAAAAATGATCACCTGATTGACAGGATGAGCAGACACAAGTAAATTCACATGAATGAGATCATGAATCCGTTGAAGCATATTCATGCATGAGTAAACCAAGCATAGACTTTTGCTAATAGAGATTTCCATGGATATGAAGGTTGTTAGGTTGTTTTACTGACCTAAATAAGCATTTGTCATTATTAATGCAAGCCAATGCAATTACAGAGTAGGCTTGTTCTGCCTTACCCTGTCAATCAATAACTTCAGGACCCCTATTTCTTTAAATATATATATATATATAGTATGTATGTATATGTATATTTGTTCCATTTGAGTTCCAAGATCTTTCCCTCCCTCCCTCCCAACCCCACACTAGAGAAGGCCAACATTTGACATGGATAAATGTGTGAAACTATACAATACATGGTTCCATATATCATATTTCATATTTGCAGGGGGATTTGGGAGAGCCAAGTGGTTTCCTGCCTTATTCTACCACCTTCCTACTCAGAATTCTTATTTCTAATGAAGTTTTTCATTATATAAACAACTACTGAATATATAAGGTCTTCAAAACATGTCACAAAACTGTGAGACAATTAAGTATGAGTCTATTTGCTAAGGCTGCACCATCCGTATGGAAGATATTGGACCTGCCTTGGGAACCTGGAGGACTAGAGTACTCATAAACATTTTGTGTTGACTTACCATGTGGTTGGGAGTTTTTTTTCCCTTCCAATGGCCAGAACTGCTTGCATCTTTTAAATACTTGACTGCACTTGTGGTGGCTATTGCTGCATTTGTGTCTAAGGGTGAAGGTGAATCCTTCACTCATGATCAATGAGATCATACAGTAATAGGGGAGGGTCCTCAGACCTCCTTCCTTCCCACTTCCTCTCATCCCCAGGCTATGTAGCCAATGGGATGGTCTTTTGACTTTTCATTTAATTATTTTCTGTGGTAGGTCCTGGGAATGGAATCTCTAATCTGCTCCTGGAGCTTGAACCATGTAGTTCTAGGGGTATATGAACCTAGAGCTGGTGTTGCAGCCAGCCCAGCAGTGATGCCCTGAGGAGAGGAGTAGGGACTCAGCTCAGCAGGATCCAGAACTGAAGGCTTTGGGCTTGAGTTTAGGAACTGGGCTAATTCAGGAACTATAAGCCTCTTCTTCATCTTTCCCTCCTCCTAGACTGAGGTACTATAGGAGGATTGTGCCACCAGGCGTTGGGAGGGAATGTTTGTATGTTTGTTCTTGCTATATTTTTGAAGTAAATATTCCTTTGTAAAAGTTAGTCCAATGCTGAATGATTAAATGAAACCTGAGTGTAACCAAAAGGCCTTAACCCATCAGTGATTTAGGGGGATGTCTACCCTAAGTATGGATAGACTTTCCCTGGTGAAATGGTGGATGGAAACAATTTGTTCCAGTGGGCCATGAAGGTGGCTGAAGCAGGCGCTGTGGAGTGCTTAGACTAGAGCTTAGTCAGACATCAAAGATGCCAAGGTCACCCACTGCATCCAGGTCCACAGTCAGCCATCCTGACTTTTGATCTGCTGCTCGATTTCAGTGACTCTGGAAGAGAGAGTGAGGCTGATGACTTTGTGTAACTCTGCCTCACTTAAATCCAATTCATGTACAAGTTAAGACATCATCCTGTGCTGTCATTAGTCCTCTTTCAAAACAGGCAGACAACAACAACACTATGTGCTAGGCACTATGCTGAGCATTGGGGATACAAAAAAAAGGCAAAAGACAATCCCTGCCCTCAAGGAGGGGCTCACAATCTAATGGGAGAGAACAAGTAAACAAATATGTTCAAGCAAATGATGTATAGGATAATAAATAGGAAATAATTGAGAGGGAATGAACTAGAATTAAGGAGTTAGGGAAAGTTTCCTGCAGAAGATGGAATTTTAGTTGCGACTTAAAGGAGACCAGGGAAAGCAGTAGGTGGAAATGAGGAGGGAGAGCATTCCGATCATGGGGGACAGACATAGAAAACACATATAGCAGAGAGATGGAGGGTCTTATTTATGGAACAGCAAAGAGGCTGATGCCACTGGATCAAAGAATCCCATATGTGGCAGGAAGTAAGGAATGAGAGGACTGGAAGGTGGGAAAGAGATAGGCTCTGAAGATCTGTGATCTACTTAATGAAAGAAAAAATAACATATCCATAAATCTTTTCCCTAACCCTAGATACAAATGAAAAGAAATACTGAGTAAATTGACACATATGCTAGTGACCTCTGCTGGAGAATATGTGTAATTTTAAAAGCATATGTTTTGTGTATTTTTCTTTTTACAAATCCACAATGAATTGTTTTAAAAACTAATGTGTATGAGAGGGTTTTAGATTGGCTATGAATTAATTTTTTATGAGCTAAGTGAAAGATTGCTTTAAAAAATCTGTAACCACAATTCAACCCAGAAAATGCATTAAGAAGTCATACAAAGTAGTCTCTGATTTCTTTTATTAAAGTTTCCCAAACTAATTCAACATGGGATATTTGGGGGCTTAAAATATATAAACAGAACCCTTAAATGCTGCTTAGGGAAAATCTGAAACAAAATATTTGATCTCTAAGGTTCCCTCCAACTATAAAATACTAAGAAATTAAGTCTATTTCTATATTTTCAAAAATCTCAATTATATTGGAAACTCATGTCACCAGAACTGTGTGGTCAGAGAGTCAGGTCAGCCACATATTAAGAGGAAGAGACAGTTGATTGCTGCTCCAACTCTTATCCATGCACAGTTGCACAATATAAGCAATAATGGATGAATAATAACTTGCATCTTTTATGGGAGAGTTTGTATAAGTGGGAGACAGTCCTTGAAAGCATAGGGAATAAACAAAGAAAGGGGGCCTGATAACCTTAAAAGATGCAGGCTATGCCATAGGAGTGATAAAGATGACCTGCTTTTGAGGCATAAATTAGTCCTTTTAGTGATATAGAAAGAATACAAGAGATAGGATGAAGAATGCCTCAAGGTAACCTATAAAAGTCATTTCATCAAGTCCAGTTGGTAAACTATAAATGATTGTTATCATATATAAAAAGACTGTCATCATCATCATTGCCATCATCATCATCATTTTATTAGACTTAAGGAACTCAGTTCCTAATGAGACAAGTTGAAGATGAATGGACATCCTCAGACATCTCATTTCTCATCCTGCAACATTCATTTTAGATTTCTTTGACTTTCCATCACGTCCCATGTCCACCCACTTTTCAGCTTTGTTTTTTGTGTTGCCTTTACTCATTAGATCATAAACTCCTTGAGGGCAGGGCCTGTCTTTTTCATATTTGTTTTGCCAAAGCTTAGCTTGGTACTTGGCACATAGTAGGCAATTATATATGTTTGTTGACCATTGACTATATGTGGAGCAAAAACACTATTAAACTGTGCATACCCTTTAACCCAGTTAAAAGTGTGCTATAAACTGTGCTATAGTTCTGTACTTCAAAGAAATAAAAGAAAGAGGAAAAGGACCCATATGTGCAAAAATATTTATAGCAGCTCTTTCTGTGGTAGCAAAGAATTAGAAAAAGTGTGTGCCCATCAATTAAGGAATGTCTAAATCAGTTATGGTATACAAATGTGATGAAATAATATAAGAAATGATGTGGTATAAGAAACCATAAGTGCTGTAAGAAATGATGAAGGGAAGAGTTTCAGAAAAACATGACAAGTTTGTATGAACTGATGCAAAGTGAAACAAGAAGAACTAGGAAAACAATTTATACAACAACAATATTGTAAAGATAATCAACTTTAAAAGATTTAGGAACTCTGATCAACACAATGAACAGTTCCAAAGGATTCATGAAGAAACAGTGCTATCCGTATTGGGGGGGGGTGGGGAGAGAGAGAGAGAGAGAGAGAGAGAGAGAGAGA